GGTGAGGGACCAGATGACGGGGTGCACCTTCTGCGTGATGTTCAGTGAAATGGCCACGATGGAGCATGTGTCCTGCCGCACGGCCACCCGCCTGGGACCACAGCGGGTGGGTCAGCCGGGGCCATCCGTGGCCCATGAGACTGCCCCCCCGCAGGCCCATCCACCCCAGCCCACAGCAGAGGCCTCACCCCGGCCAGGTCTGGTTGGGCTCAAACAGGATGAGCAGGGTGGGCTCGTAGTAGCCGTGCAGGAACTGCAGGTCCACGATGTTGAGCAGCTTCTCGTCCAGGGCCCGCACGTCGATGATGTAGCTCGGCAGGAAGCTGGACCTCTGCCTGCGGGACCAGGCTTCAGCGGGCGGAGGGCGGTCACCGGGTTTTGGGCTGCCCTCCCGCCCGGCTGCGGCACTCACCCCTCGCCCACGAGCCCTTCGTGCTCCTCGGCCAGGCTCTCCCGGCGGAAGGGCAGGACCACCAGCCGTGTGCCGTAGATGAGCATGGCCGCGCAGCGCCCGTCGGGGTCCACCCGCACCCGCGGCGTGTGCACGTTCTGCACGAACCCGTCCTGGGGAGGGGCGTTGGGTAGGCAATCCCGAGGGAAACGGGAGGTGGGGGGCAACGGGCTAGGGAGAGAGGAGAAAAGGGTGGGGCAATGGGGCGGGGCGCAGCCTGGCCTACCCGCAGCTCCGGCTCCTCGAAGTAGTGCAGTGATAGCGTCTTCAGGTCATGGGTGCCCGGGTCATACTCCACCACCGACAGCTGGGGATGGCAGAATGGAACCGCATCTGCCACCGCCACCCTGTCCTCCACCCACCAGGGCGCCCACGCCTGCTCCCCGCTCCAAGCCACTACCCACTTTGGCATCCTTGAAGCTCAGCAGCAGGGCATCCCGCTTGGCACCGGCCAGCTGCACGCTGGCCATGGACATGACGTTGCCGAAGAAGGAGAAGGAAGCCACCAGCTCCAGCTTTTCCCGGTGCTCTCGGTGGGCCTTCCCCTCTGGGGGAGAGGGCAGTGGGTACAGGTCTGGTTCCTGTGCCCAAGCCACCCACGCCCCTAGGCGGGCGGCCAGGGCAGCCACCCGTGTGCTCACCTGCGCTCCTGTCATTCTTAGTTGGCGCCTGGAAGAGAGAGGAGGAGGAAGCGCACTGAGGGCCACATGACTGCTGTCAGCAGTGCTCTCCTCATGGACAATGGCAAAAGACCACGGAGGGCCGGCCCTGCCACTGGGGCCCTGGCCGAACCCTCGCTGCGGTGGGGGGCACATGACCAGGCGCTTCTGGAGATAGCCATGCACACACACCCCAGTCCAACATGCACAAGGCCACACTCACACCTGGGTCCCCCACTGGGCCACAGGCTTCTCCTGAGGAGCCCAGCCAGCGCTGGGAGTACTCACTCAAGTCAGAGACCGGACCGCGCTGTGCACCACACACCTGCCTGGCTCTGCCTCCACCAAAGCGAAACGCGACCACAGAACAAAGGGTAAGGGGGTACAGGGCTAGAGCGTCACAAGGATTCCATGTCATTTGAGTAAAAGCACTCGTTTGAGTCATACTATCGTGAATGAGGGAAGCCTGTTGCAATCTCCAATGTAACTAATTAGAAAATGACATGAAATGATAACTAAATAACAACAGAGGAGTTAAAATGAAACAAAAATATCTGATTAATCCAAAACGAAGCAATAAAGAGGACAACAGGAAGAATAAAGGAATGACGGGCAGAAAGACAGAGAAAGGTGGTGGTTCCAACCCGACCACGTGGAAAAAATACCCACGTAGACCAACACACCAACGAGAAGACAACAGTCGGCAGGATAAGCAAGCCTACTACTCATTATTGAGTCACTTTAAATATAACGACGCAGGCTTTCAAAAGACATTCCATGCAACAACTTAAGAAAAAAGCTGGGTAGCCACTGTTAAACGAAGCGAATCTTAAGGCAAAAAGTATTGAAGATAACGAGCATTTCATCGAGTATATGGAAATGGGCAGAGTGAAAAGCCTGAACGAAAGCATTCTAGTATCTCTCTAAGGAATACAAGTGTGACTAGAAAGCATTCTAGCATCTCTCTAAGGAATACAGTGCTGGGAGAAAGACACTACATCATTTAAGGAAGTGGTTCTGAGAGCCTTAGGAGTTGCACATGTGGCTATCAAATGCAGTAAAAACAAATCTAGGCCCCAAGAGGCTGTTCAGGTGCTTTCCTCAGTTTGACTCAATTTATGGGGCTTGTTATCTAAAGCAAAGCAGCTCCCTACATATGTGACAAGTGGAGAAATTTCTAGGGAGTCAGCGGACGAAATAGCAGCTATGCAAGCCTTAGTAATAAAGACCTAAGCAATCGACATCAGTATTGACCGTCCTGGGAACAGGTCCTAGAAAAGGTGCTCTCGCCTTCTGGAATTTCTCTTATACCCGTGTATCTGAAACACCAGATACTGATTTTTTAAAATAAATTTTTCTTTAATGGCTAAAAAAAGGGGGGGGGGAGCATTTCATGACCAAAAGGTTAGTAAAAACTAAAATATTATTCTAAATGTCTTGTAGCTAATAATGCAACTTTAAACACACACACACACACACACACACACAGAATTCTTGATAATCCTGTCAGGGAAGTGCACCCACTACCTTGTTCATCTTTAAAATTATTTAGAATATTCTTAATTTTTGACTCTTCCATGTAAATTTGAGAATCAGATCACTAAATCTAGTGAGAAACTTTATTGCAACTTTGAGACGAAAAACACTGAATGTGCCGATTAATCTGGGAATGGTTAACATTTCTATGATAACGAGACTTTCCGTTTGTAACCATGATATAACTTCTACTCACTTTAGACTTCTGTTAATTTCAGGAAAAAAATGCTGTATGTTTTTTTCCTCCCAAAAGTCACAGAGGCCTTTCTTGCTGCTGGCTGTCACACTACACCTGTGCCAGGCTATGTGCTTGTCTGTGTCCCATAAAGCTTCTCCGTTCTCTATCCACACCTCACAGAGCAGAGGCCAGGCATCCCCAAGGTCTGGACCATGTCCTGTCCAAACTCCTGCCCCATTCACACGTGTGTGACCACGGCAACACTGTGTTCGAAACTTCAGGATAGTTGTTTCTGTGGTGATGACTGGACCGGTAGTGACAGCCCCCCACCTCCACCCCACAAGGACCTTTCTCCAGCTCATGGTGCCCCACACTTTACTTTCTGGTGCAAGACTTGGTGAACTTTCCAAGAAAGGGCTTGAGAGCAAACATCTGACTTAGGCTTTGCAGTTACATCTGGTCCATTGAGAGCTTTCCTTTGGAATTTTTTTACAACTCTTAAAGATGTAAAAAGTTTCCTTAGATCTCAGTGGGCTGTGGGCAGAAAGCCCAGCTCCTGGGGCTCATTCCCTTCAGTGCGCAATGTGCTGCTGTCTCGCTCATCTTCAAACAAAACAAAACAAAACAAACAAACGAACCTTTTCCAGCCACTTACTGCTGCATTACCTTGCTTCCCTGAGCACAAATCTCCTCCAGGGAGCTGTTCATGTTCAGTGACTAACTCTCCCCTTCCACTCTGCACCCCAGCCCAACTCTGCACGTCCGCCCACCCTCAACAGCTTCTGGCGAGTGCACGGGCTGTTCCTAGGGCTCGGCGCACTCCTCACTCCCCATCCCTGAGCCTGGAGCAGCAGCGAGGCCGGAGGCGGCTGGAGGCTGCGCGGCCCGGGCCTACCTCGGCGTCGCGGTTCAGGCGGTACACGTAGAGCTGCGAGGTCCCGGCCACCACGAGGTTGCGCTCGCTGTTGTTGAAGAAGTTGCAGTACATGGAGAACTCGAGGCCGGTGGGCGGGTGCGCCTGCTTGTACACGGCGTACATGGCGCCTACCCGGGCTGCGCGGGGCCGCAAGACGACAGGATGAGCGGGGCCTCCCGCGCCCGCCGCCCTCTCGCTAGCGGCCTGCCGTCCGCGCCCACCTGGCAGTTGGAGCCGGCTCGCGGGGGACGGGACGTCGGTGAACTCCGTCCCGCCGCCCGGAAGCTGAGCGCCGAGGTTCCGGGCTCCTGAGCTTGCGCAGTGACGGCACGGCAAACCGGCTGCGGCGGAGACAGCGGCCCCCGGTGGCCGGGGGAGCGAGGTGGCCTCGCGACTCCGCGACCAGAGCCTCTGGAGATCCCGCGTCCCACAGGCTGGGGAACGCGGCGGCGGGCCGGAAGCGAGGAGGGCATGCAGCGGCTCCGGGCTGGCTGGGTCCCCTGCCTGACCGGGGCTGGGAACAGTGTAGAGCAGCGGTCCACAACTTTTTTGGCATCAGGGACGGGGCTCCTATGAGAGTCTAATGCCGGACGATTTGAGGTGGAGTCGAGGCGGGCATGCAGATACAGATGAGTCTTCGTTCCTTCGCCTGCCGCTCATCTCCTGCTGTGCAGCCCAGTTCCTAACGGGCCATGGACAGGTACTAGTCCATGGCCCAGGGATTGGAGACCCCCGGCATATTGCTGCAGGAAGACGCGAGTGTCCTCCGCCAAGCCCATGTTCCGATGCCGGCCAGGAGCGTCGCGCGGATGAGCCAGGCGAGCCTCGTGATGTGGGGCTGGAATGCAAGGGACGCCCGAGTGTGGAGGAGGCACAGACAGTACCCAGATGGGAAGGCTTCTTAGACAGAAAAGCTGTATCCTGTCTCTCCTGCATGCCCGCCCCAGAGCGACCCTACTTCCACCCAAGCGTTGGGCACTGAAGGCACACAGCCCTCCCGGTGCCGGCAGCCACGTTTGCCAGTCCTCCCCTCTACCACCTGAGCCTCTCCTTCCAAAGCAGTGATTTTCTTGCGATCTTGCTCCCTCCCCAGGCCTGGCACAGCTACCTACTTCAAGGCCCTGGAACCAGGGCCTCGCACAGCTCAGCGAACCTCTCCTCCCTTGCTAGGGAGCTGCCCCAGATAAGCGGGGACAGGCCTGGGCCTTAGAAATGGAATCATAAGAAATAAAACAAGAAAGTATAGTCACACCCGAGAAATTGGCATATACACGTATATTGCATCGAGATCCGCACACTTGCTCATGTCAACAACAAGGCTCCGAGTCTGGACCATGGGGTGGGTGCCCAAAGGGGCCACCCGGATGTCCAGGCAGTTGTGTAAACCCCGGGCTACACTAAACCCCTTCAGAAATCATAGGAAGTACCACAGCCAGGACCGTGAAGATGTGCTGCAGGAGGCAGCAGGGGCAGAACACTGACGCTCAGCATCTCTGTCAAATGGACAGTCAGGGTGCCCACATCACATGGCATCTGTGACAACTGAGTAAGTCAGTGCCCATAGGACCATAGGACCGGAGCCTGGCACGTGGCAAGCACCCTAACAAATGAAGGAGAACGCATCTGAGGGACGGAGTGGACCCTGTGGAGAGAGCCAGACACACACAGGAGCAGTCCTGGGGAGGAAGCAATGGGCAGGGCGCTGCCATCCCAGGCAGGGGAAGGGAAGGGGAGAGCGGGCCGCTGGGCTGAGGTCGTGGGCAGGGCTGGCAGTAGGAAGGTGGAGACGGGCCCACCTGGTGGATCCTCTTCCTCAAAAGGAGGGGAGGTCCAAGGCAGAGGTGGGGCAGTGGTGTCCCAGGCCTGGAAATTCCAGAGCATAGCTCTGCTGGTTCCTGTCGGGGTTCTAAGCACTGCCCCACTCAGTGGCCCTTCTTGGTGGGAGGCCCTCCCCACAGCGGGAAGAACAGTCTGGGCTCCAAGGGCGGGAATGCCTTTATTGAAGATGGGTTGGGGGGCCTGGGAGGGCGGGAACTCTCGAAGGCTTAGGGCTCTCCAGGTCCCCAGCTGTAGGTTCAGGTTCAAGGGGCTGAGACAGCGCAGGGCCAGGGGCCAGAGTCAGGGTCCCAAGAGCGGGGCGGAGGCTATCAGAGGGCGATGCTGTCCTCATACAGCGACAGCAGCAGCAGGACGGCCCAGCCGCCTAGCAGACCCACGTTGTGCAGCAGGAAAAGGAGCCAGGGACGCGGGTCGCGCACGTTCAGCATGGCCGGAAGCTGCGGAGGTGAGTGCCGGATCAGCAGCCAGCTCGTAGGCCTGCTCACTCCCCTCCAGGAGCCCCCTTTGCGCCCTCCGCCCTGACCATGTCGCAGAGCGCCACGTAGAGGAAGAGGCCGATGGCTACCGCCAGGGTCCAGGACTCGCTCTCCTCGCCGACGCCGAGTGCGAGCGCCACGTAGAGGCCGGCGAAGGCCGTGAGCCCCGAGGCCAAGTTCAGCAGCAGCGCCCGGGACACCGGCAGCCCTGCGTGCAGCAGGGCCGCGAAGTCCCCTGGGGCGCGCGGGAGGGGGCGGGGTCAGGCCAAGAGCCCCGCCCTCCAGACCCCGCCCCTCCCGCCACACCGACAAGCCCCGCCCCTTGCCTCTCACCCAGCTCGTGGGGCACCTCGTGGCAGAACACCGCCAGCGACGTGGCCAGCCCCGTCTTCCAGGAGGACGCGAAGGCGGCGCCCACGGCCAGCCCGTCGGCGAAGTTGTGCAAGCCGTCGCCCAGCGTGATCATGTAGGGCAACAGCCTCAGCTCTGCGGACACAGCGCGCGTGGGGCGTGGGTAGGCGCGGGACTGGCGCCACCACACTCTTAGCCCCCAGCCCTTCCTGGGCACCCCCAGGGCTCACCTGGGCTCTTTCTCCGGGGCTCCGGGCTCAGCAGCTCAGGGCTCTCTTCTGCCACCTGCAGGGGGTCCAGGTGGTTGAGCCCCCGTGCGAGGGAGAGGGGAGGAGCCGGGCTCGGGCCCCAGGTCAGCCTCAGAAGCCAGGGGCAGAAGCCCTGGGGTAGGGGCTCGGAGCGCCTGTAAGGGGACTTACCAGGTCTGCACGGGAGCCCTCGTGGGGCTGCTTGGGTGGCCGGAGCTCCCTAGGTGCCAGCTGCAGGGACATGCCGTGGCTGTGGCCACTGTGGCTGCGAGGTGTGCCCTTCCGGTCCTGTTGAACAGCAGCTCAGGGCCCACCATGCCTCTTCCCAGTCCACCCACCACATCCAGCCCCCACTCGCCTGACCTCTGGGTCCTGGGGCAGCAAGAGGTCGCAGAGTTTCTCGAACAGGAAGAAGACATAGAGGCCGCTGAGTGCCACCACGAGGCGCCAGGTGGTCTGTGGGCCGTGGCTGTCTGCCCTGTGCTCGCTGTCCCCACCGTGCTGGTGCAGCCCCAGAACCTGGGAGGGCAGGGGGAGCTGAGCCTGGTGCCTCCCCGACACGGACCCCAGGAAGGCAGGCCTGGCAGGAGGGTTGGGAGGCAGAGCCCCTGGGAGAGGGGAAGGGAGGGTCCCAGTGGGCTGGGGCCGACCTTGGGTGTCAAGTGCAGGAGGGCGTCCCCTGTGAGTGCGCCCACGGCCATGCCCAGGAAGGTCTGGATGACATAGTGGGCAGCAGTGCTGCAGGCGGCGCAGGTGAGAAGCAGGAGGCCAAAGGTGGAGCAGAGGCAGATGAGCAGCGTGGCCAGCGAGCCGTACAGATACTCTGGGGGACAGATAGCAAGGGCCCAGGTGAGAGCCCCACCTCAGCCTTCTCAGGGGAGGCCGTCCAGCAGGATCTGGGTGTGAGCAGGCGCTCTCCAGAGCTACAGGCAGCCAGGTGCGGGCCAGGCCCCTGCTCACACTAACCCTGGCCTCGAAGCCCCATGCTCTTCCCTGCCAGGCCCCAGGCTGAGCCTTCCCCCTGTCTCCCCTAGCCCAGCATTCACTCCCTCTCTGGGCGCCCCCCAGCTGTGCCACCAGCACCTCTGGGCACAGGGAGGAAGGCAGGCTCGGAAGGTGGGCACTCACTCTCCGCCTGGCTAAGCTGGTTCTGGGCTGGGTGACTGGGCTGAGGGCTGCAGGCTCCACTCAATTGCTGTTGGAGCAGGGCGGGGCTCAGTTGGGCCCAGGCCTCTGGGGTCACCCCGGTCTGCTCAGACAGCCCATACACAGCCATCACGTCCCTGGCACTCAGGCATACCTGGGGGTAGCAGGACTGGGGGTCAGGTGCTTGGGCAGGCTCGTAGAACCCCACCGCTCCCCAGGACTGTGGCCTATGAGCCGCTCACTGTGTCCCATGTGTCAGAGCTGCTGTTGGGGGCGGTGAGGGGCGTGGGGCCCTGGCGGTTGACCCTTTTCTCCTGATGATGGTGGTCACTGTGGGTTTCGGTCACTCCGCCCACCCCCAGGCGCTGCATCAAGGCCGCCAGCTCTGGCAGAGAGAACAGAATTGCAAGTGTATGGGCTCTGGTGCTGCCCTGCCCAGGGCCACGAGGCTGGCGGCTCAGGGCCTGCCCCGCTCTGTGGCCCAGCCCAGGCCTCACCGGCCACAGAGATGTTGGGCGTGTTGCCGTGGGACTGCTGGAAAACGAAGTCCACGAAGTACTGGGGCGTCGGCAGGGTGTGGAAGCAGGACCCGCGCCCCACGTGCTCCAGCAGGGTGGCCAGCACGGGGCCAGGGCTGCCGGGCGCCCCCGCTACCCCCGCCTCTCGCAGCAGTTGAGGCGGATCCACGCAGGCCTGGGGGAGGGGCTGGGTGTCAGCCAAGCTGCCACTGTGGCCTTCCTGGCCGCCAGCTCAGCCACCGCCCCTGGAACCCTTGCCCCCTGGATGCCAGTGGCCCCTGGATCTGCCCCTTAGCCTCATCTACGTCCTGAGTGGGTCCCTCCCCTCCAAACCCCTTGGGTCCTCCTCGCCCAGTGCCACAGGCAGCCCGCCCGGCCCTCACCTCCCCTGCGCTGGGCTGGCCCGTGGTCTGGGCCTGAATCCTCTGCAGCAGCCTGCTCAGGCCTGGGGCCAAGGCCTTGGGGCCCTCGAGCAGGGCCAGGAGATGGTCGGCGCGGGAGGCCCAGCGGCCAGCCCGAATGTCCTCACACGTGCCCTCAGGGTCGCTGAGGTAGAGGGCGGCAGCGGCACTGAGGCGGGCGAGGTGGCCAGGTTCCTCAGGCCTGCCCAGGGCCAGGAGGTCGTCCACGGACAGGCACTGTGGGCAGAGACGGTGGGCAGCGGCCCTGTGGGGCCACACACGCCTCTCTCCCCGCCACGCCTCCACCTCCTGCTCTCATACTCCCCCCACCCCCATTACAGGAGCGGGTGCACAGGGGTCTCAGGAGGGGTTCCTTCCCCGGTGGTTTCTTCCTGGAACCACTGCCAATGTGATGGCCTGGAGGCTGACAGGGGAGGCGGCCCTGGGATCTGGAGCTGCGCGTCCCCAGCGCAGCCCCCATCATGGGGCTTGGGGCTGCAAGCAGGACTGCTCGGCCTCTGCCCTCCTCCTGGAGTCTGCCCAGGCCTTTCGCTGCCAGCCCGTAGGGTGGGGTGGGCAGGGCCGGGGGACCTGTCGGGTGGGGCACTTACCTTTCCACACGGCCCTGAGGTGCAGTGCACACGGGCCGCCAGTGTATTTAACAGGCCGCCCAGCGCCACGCGGTCCAGAGCACCCTGGCCTGAACTCAGCAAAGTCAGCAGATGAGCAGGCTGGGCCATCCTCATGGTCAGCACCAGCACCAGCACAGCCAGCAGCGGCCTAGGCTCAAGCCAGGCCAAGATCGCCATGCTGAGGCCGCGGAAGGCTTGGCTCCTGCTTGGTGCTCTGGCGAGGCCTTGGACACCAGGGCTGGCTAAGGGAAGAGAGGGCTGCTTGGGGCCAGAGTGGTGCTAGGCACGAGGCTCTCCCACAGGTATTTCCTGCTGGGCGCTGTGATTGGCTGTCAGAGGAATTACAGATTAGCCATTCCAGGGGCAGGTCCTCCCCAAAACGAAGAGCCACATCCTGCAGGCGAGAGCTGCCTGGGGCCAGACTAGGGCGAGGTGAGGCTCTCTTGCAGGTGTTTCCTGCTGGGTGCTGTGATTGTCTGCCCTGCTTAACCATTTCAGGCTCCGTCCTCCGCGTTCCAGGAGCTGCTGCCTGCGGGGGGCGCTTGCCGGGCCCTTCCCCTGGCCTCCCTGCTGCGCCTTCCCTCCCCTGAGGGCCTAGGGTGTTGCCTTCTGCAGCTCTCTCTAGGGGCTCCCTCCAAGCAGGGGGGCCTGGGGCAGAGCAGCACACCTGGCAGGAGTCCCTCCCGGACATTCCTGTGGAGAGCCTGCACGGGCCCACCCCATCCCAGCCCCCTCCCAGGGTTCCACCCTGGCTCAGGGAGCTGAGATGCTCCCCCAGCCTCAAGAATGTGGGGCTCTCCTGGTCCTGGGTGTGGGCTCCGTGGGAGGTTGGCTGTAGTCTGAGGAACAGATACAGCCTTTGCTGAGTCATCTTCCCCCACCTCCAGCCCTCCAGGGAAAATCCCCCAGGAAATGGCCAGAGGCCCCCTGGGAGCCTGGGTCCTCGCCACTCTGCACCCTGCAGGAGGGCTCTTGGGTGTGGTTCCCAGCCCTCCCCCTGTCCCTCCCCTCCCTGCTGCTCCCTCAGGCCTTTGACCCTCAGCCTTATCACTGCCTGGCTGGCACCTGGGGGAAGGTGCTGCCTGACCCTCCAGAGGTAGTGTCTAGGTGACCCCTCCCCACCTGGTTCAGCCATTCCTGAACCTGAGCCCCGTGGTGTGACGCTGGGTGGGGTAGGAGATTCAGACACCCCTTCACCCAGTTCTGAGGGCTGAATCCAAACTGGCCCTTGTCCTTCCCCACTGCGTGGGACTGGCTGGGCTGGCTGGGGACCAGTCTGCAGCCTTGGGCCATCCGAGAGCCTATTAGCTTCCAGGCGAAGGTCTCAGCCCAGCCTGAGGCCTTGAAGGCCTGGCACATGCCAGCGGTGCCCTCGGCAGGCCCTCAGGCCTCAGTGGACCTCAGTGCCTCCTGCTCTGACCCCCACCTCTTCCACCAAAGTCACCCTTCTCTGTAGCCCAGAGCAGCGGGCTGTCACCAGCTCCCTGCACATCTGTCTCCGCCCCCTCCTCCCCCTTCCCCGTGCTGGGCTGTCCTCTGGGTGCTGAGCCTTCTGCTGTGTCCCCAGGCCCTGTCCTGCATCATCCTGTCACCTCATAAGCACATGGTAGTCCCTCCTGTCTTCAAACTTACACCCATGGTCACAAACAACCCAAGTGCCCACCCACAGATAGTGGATAAACACAATGTGGTCTGTCCGCATGGTGGAATGTTACTCAGCCTTGAAAAGGAAGGGATGCTGGCACTCGCCACAACACATCAACCTTGAGGACTGGGTGCTCAGCGAGCTGGCCCACCCCTCCCCCTCCCTGCCACGCCTGCAGGCCTTTGACCCCTCAGCTTTATGCTGCCTGGCTGCCACCTGGGGAAGGGGCCAGCCCCAAGGAGCTCCTAGTCCCCCCGCAAGGTCTCAGGGCAGCCTTGGATGAACCTTGAGGATGTTATGCTGAGTGAGATGTCAGTCACAACAGGACGAGTCCTGTATGATGCTTCTTACACAAGGCGCTCAGTCAAAATCGAGGGACAGGAAGTACAATGGTGAGCGCAGCAGCTGGGGGCAGGGAATGAGGGGAGTTTAGTGGGGAGACTTGCCATTTGGGAAGATGGAGAAGCTTCCGGAGCTGGCGGGTGGCAATCCCGGTATGGCATGCACCTACTAGACGCCGCTGAACTTAGACGGCAAACTTTGTTTTATGTACTTTCTTGCAATAAAAAACCGTAGACCAAAACAACCCTCCCTGGGTCTCTGCCCCTTCTGCTGCCCTAGACAGCATGACTTGGGGGTTCTGGCACTGGCAGCCTCTCCTGGGCTCCCCTGGAGCCCCCTCCCCACTTGTCAAGGTCACTGAGAGCCCCACAGGCCAGACCCAAGAGTGCGCTTCCTGGTCTGAGTCTGCCCTGGGCCCTGCGGCCCCTCCACGACCCGGGGCCTGCGTCCTCAGGGTCTCCTCCCGGCCCGGCCACCCCGACTTTAGCTCTTTTCCTGGTCTTTCCGTCCTGTCCCCAAGCGCAGCAGGGCTGGACCCTGGACCTCTTGGGAAGGATTTCTGGACCCCACCCACTGTCAGGCTTTCACCCTGGAGGCACTGAGCCTTTGTGCCACACTTCCCTCTGGAACGGCAGCCTCTGATTTCCAGCCACTCCTCCGACAGCTCCCCTGGGCGATCAGAGCCAAGTCCAACCCAGCCTGTACAGACGGGCTCCAGCCCTCACGGAACCCTGCTCCCTGCAGACATCCGTGCTTTACCAGGAGCTCCTGCACCCCCTCCAGCCGCTCGGGTGCTGAGCCTGGGCACAACCCCCGAGTCCCTCCACGGCCCACATCCAGACCTGCTGGCCCTTCGCCCCGCGGGCTTGCCCTGGCAAGGACCCTACCAGTTGCCCCGGCTGTGTTGTCTCCCTCCATGATACGCAAGCGAGCTGGGGACACGCCTCTGCTCTGAGCACCCTGCTGGCCCCCAGGGCTCCTGGGCACCTTCCAGAGTCCTTACGTCACCTGCCCAGGCCCCTAGCCTGGCTCCCCGCTCCCTGCCTAGGACCAGCTTTGAGGGCTGCTCACCCCTCTCCTTCCGTGCAGCACTGAGGCTGTCCCTGACTACTGCACGTGAAATGGCACCTCTCTGGCCATCACCCTTGGAAACACTGCAAGCTTCAGTCACTGACTCTGAACGCCAGAAATCGGAGAAAATGCTACAGCCAAACTGGCTCGTCCGTTATCCGATGCCGCTGCTGCCAGGTGTGACAGCCGTCTTAAAGCCCAGAGCCTTGGTTGTCCTGTTTGCTGCTGTTGCCCGTGAGGACGAGGACCCTGTGGGGTCATATCCCGCAGTCTGCCAGCCGTCTGCCTCAGAGCAGGTCCACAGTAGATACTAGCAAACGAGCCATAGTTGGCCTTGGACCTCCCGTGTCCCCACCTGCGGCCTGTAGCTCCCCCGCCAGGCCTCAGGCAAGGGTGCCCCAGGGGCTCCTCATAGGGCCTGGCTCCCTACTAGTGAAGGACATTCTCAGTGGCAGGAAGGAAATCAAATGGCTCCCACCAGTGTTCCAGTGAGCCACCGTACAGGACAGGGTCCTGCTGTGGAAGGTCAAACCCTGCGTTGGCCTGCAGTGTCCCCTGCAGCCACACTTCCCAGCCTGGGGTGGCACCGTGGCCTCTGCACCAAGCCAGCTTGGACTCTGAGCAGCCCAGAGCTCTCAGATGAGGCGTGGAGAGGTGGGTGTGACAGGAAGGCTCCTTGGTGGTCAGATTCAAGCCACGCCTGGCCCAGGCAGAGGCTCGCCCACCCCGCTGCTTGCCCTACAGTGACACCGAGGCCCTTCCCTGACGAACTGTGTGTGCTCGGAGCCTGTGTGCTCCAGGGCCACAAGATGCCACCTGAGGCCTAGAGGGCAGACAAACACTCGGGGCAGGCCTGGGTGGGGGTGCTCGCAGCAGCCGGAAAATCGGAAAGCATCTTTATTGTGGGGTGGAGGCTCGGGGTCTAGACACCATGGACAGACACAAACACGGGGCTGCTGTGGAAAGCCCAGGGGGTCCACAAAAACAGGAACCATGCTGGGAGGCTGGGGCCCCCCACTGGGCAGGCCTGAGAGCCACCAGGACAGGGAGTCGGGGCACTCAGGCATGCAGAAAACGGTTGAAGGCGTTGTAGGCAGACTCCAGGTCGAAGAGCATCTGGCGCACTTGGGAGTCATCCAGCTCGTCCGATGCAGACATGCCGCTCAGAGTCTGCAGCCTGCGGCCGCAGGAGCACAGCGCTGAGGCGGCGAGCTCCAAGGGGCTCCCAGGCCTCCCAGGGCCTCCAGGAGGGGTCGGACACTCACCATTGGCTGACCGTTTGGCGGCCCTCGAAGTCGGGAGGCAGGTGGCTCATGCGGTGCATAGTCTCCATCAGTTCCCGCAGGTCAGGCTGGATCTGCACGCACGATGTCTCATGGGACCCAGCTCCCCTGGGAGCCCCCTCCCCTGATGCCTGCGCCACCCCGGGCCAAGTCTGCCCTGTCCACGGCCCTGGCCCTGGTCCCGGCCCCGCCCCCAGCAGTTCTGACCCCACCTCGCCCCGCCCCCATCCCACCCGGGAGCTGCACCTCGTCCATGGCGCGGATCTCCAGGCGCAGCTTGTCCATCACTGTGATGAAGAGCTGTGGGCAGGTGTGTGCATGAGGCATCCCTGACCCGCCCCAGTGGCTGACGGGGGAAGACCCCTCGCAGGGGAGGAGCCAGGCCAGCTCTGCTCCGCCCCTCTCTGGCCTCAGGAGCCAGTCCTTTTCCTGCTCAGCCTCAGCTGTCTGGTCATTCGCCTCCCGCCTCTGTCCCCACAGCCCTGGGGGCTACTCCATTTGCTGGGGGTGGCTGGCTTCCTGCTACAGGGCCCCCACCCGGGGGAGTGAGTGCTGTGCAGCTCGGGAGCCGGGACCCCGCGTGCGCATGCGGCTGCGGCGGGCTCACCGAGACGACGTCCGCAATGCAGCGGTTGAGGTTGCCCTTGTCGTCCTTGATGGTGATGGGCCGGTCCTCCTTGATCCTCTCCATGGCCAGCGGGCAGTCCAGCTGAGAGGAGACACAGGGTGACGGCCAGGACCCTTCCCAAGAGTGTCCGCACCGCCCACCTGCCACCTCTCAGCCCCGGGGGCCAGCTCACTTACGCGGAACTTGCGGCAGAATTCATCAATGGAGCTGATTTCTGAGCCCTGCACCTGACGGAAGGCCGCTTTGTACTGCACCAGCAGGCGAGAGCAGGCTGCCGTGTACCTAGGGAGCGGCCAGGCCGTGGGCCTCAGCATGGGGACAGCCCTGCCCGTCCACGCAGGGCAGCTCTTGCAGAGAGCTGGGTGACAGGTCAGAGGTGGCCATCAAGGGCAAGGTTTTCCACTGAGTTTACACAAGAGAGTTCTGGACGAGGGGGGCGGAGGCCAAAACATGGCTGCCGCAGGGGACCAGGCCCCCGCTGTTCAGACTGGCCCCAGGGTCCAGCACTGGGCAGAGGCCCAGCCAGCCCCCTTGTGTGGGTCGTGCCTCTGCACCCACGGCTCGTGGTCCTCTGTAGCGGGCCTTCTGCACTAAGTTAAGGCCTGCGTGCCTCCCGTGTATCTCGCCTGGCCAGCAGCACCGAACAGACTGACCTGACCCTCCTGCTTGCCTTCTGAAGCCCTCATCCATGCACTCAGGGGAGCAGGCTGGGACAAAACCCCAGGGACGGGGTGGTGGGCACCCTCTCCCCTGGGACACTGCAGTACCACCAGGACTGCCCTGAATGAGAAGATGCCCAGGCTGCTAGCAACCAGGGCACCTCCTTGTGCTGGCAGGCCCCAGAGTAGTGGGCACCCTTACAGCCTGATGGAGAGGCAGAGGCCCAAAGAGACCCCCACCCTCACTTCCGGCTGAGCACCCAGACCCTGGAGGGCGGAAACCAGCTTCCAAGGCCAGGTCCTCGTCTGCGGGCAGTGACAGTGGGCTCTCACTCGCTTGGGGTGACACAGTCCTTGATGTACGCCTTCTCCAGGGCCTGCATGGTCTTCACAACCGCAAACAGCTCTGCCATGTTGTCATACCTGAGAAGTGTGTCTGTCAGGCCGTGGCCACCCAGGCCCCCAGCCCTGTGGGGTGCAGGTGTGGCAGAGCTCCGCATTTGGCCCAGCCAGACCCACATCCTCCTGATCCTCGGTGTGGGGTGGGTGTGGGCTGGGGGCGCGGGCGGGTGTGCGGGGAGCATGCGGACTCACTTCTCCCGCTCCCGGGCATTCTTGTACAGCTTCACTTCCTGTCGGAGAGAGGGGCGTTGCGTCAGCACCGTGGAGGCTGCTCACATGGGCATTTGCTGTTGGTTAGGGCCGGCCCGGGGCTAGGGAGCGGCCAGGCCGTGGGCCTCAGCATGGGGACAGCCCTGCCCGTCCACGCAGGGCAGCTCTTGCAGAGAGCTGGGTGACAGGTCAGAGGTGGCCATCAAGGGCAAGGTTTTCCACTGAGTTTACACAAGAGAGTTCTGGACGAGGGGGGCGGAGGCCAAAACATGGCTGCCGCAGGGGACCAGGCCCCCGCTGTTCAGACTGGCCCCAGGGTCCAGCACTGGGCAGAGGCCCAGCCAGCCCCCTTGTGTGGGTCGTGCCTCTGCACCCACGGCTCGTGGTCCTCTGTAGCGGGCCTTCTGCACTAAGTTAAGGCCTGCGTGCCTCCCGTGTATCTCGCCTGGCCAGCAGCACCGAACAGACTGACCTGACCCTCCTGCTTGCCTTCTGAAGCCCTCATCCATGCACTCAGGGGAGCAGGCTGGGACAAAACCCCAGGGACGGGGTGGTGGGCACCCTCTCCCCTGGGACACTGCAGTACCACCAGGACTGCCCTGAATGAGAAGATGCCCAGGCTGCTAGCAACCAGGGCACCTCCTTGTGCTGGCAGGCCCCAGAGTAGTGGGCACCCTTACAGCCTGATGGAGAGGCAGAGGCCCAAAGAGACCCCCACCCTCACTTCCGGCTGAGCACCCAGACCCTGGAGGGCGGAAACCAGCTTCCAAGGCCAGGTCCTCGTCTGCGGGCAGTGACAGTGGGCTCTCACTCGCTTGGGGTGACACAGTCCTTGATGTACGCCTTCTCCAGGGCCTGCATGGTCTTCACAACCGCAAACAGCTCTGCCATGTTGTCATACCTGAGAAGTGTGTCTGTCAGGCCGTGGCCACCCAGGCCCCCAGCCCTGTGGGGTGCAGGTGTGGCAGAGCTCCGCATTTGGCCCAGCCAGACCCACATCCTCCTGATCCTCGGTGTGGGGTGGGTGTGGGCTGGGGGCGCGGGCGGGTGTGCGGGGAGCATGCGGACTCACTTCTCCCGCTCCCGGGCATTCTTGTACAGCTTCACTTCCTGTCGGAGAGAGGGGCGTTGCGTCAGCACCGTGGAGGCTGCTCACATGGGCATTTGCTGTTGGTTAGTGCCGGCCAGGTGGGCACCTGCCACTCACCTCATACAGCTCCGGCTTGTTTCCAGGAGCTGCAACAGAGCAGGCAGAAAGCTGACAGGCTGGCCACAAAGGCAACCCCCAGCTGGGCAGGCCTGTCCACGCGCCCCGGCCCCAGCCCTACTTCAGCACCCCTCCCAGAGGCCGGGGCTGTGCCATGTCTCAAAGAGCCAGGAGGGAGCTGGAGCATAGGAATTCCATGTTTGGGGGTGGGCGGGGCTGAGCAGAAGATGTGCCGGGACGGGCCTCCCATTCCCTCACTACTTCTGTGGCCACTCACTCCATAGCGACCACACCTTGTGTATAGTGCAGTGATGAGGCACAAATGTTTGTTATGTGCTCTGTGACCTTTCCCCTGGCTGGGTTACTCTGGGATGCCAGAACCTCCTAAGGTTCCAGCCACCCTAAAGCTATCATCTCAGTGCCCAGCCAGCCCACCTAGTGGCGGTCTCTGGGCCCCCGTGATAAAATGTGCCAGCCCCTGGCCAACCCGAGGCCGTATGGGGGACACCTGCAGGGTCCCCCAACCACTGGCCACTGCTCCCATCAGCCTCTGCAGCAGGGGCTGAAAGCCTGGGCCCAGCTCAGGCCACACTCACCTCCCAGGCCTGGAGTGGCTGGGATCCCGTGAAACATCCTGTAAGTGCAGGCGGCTCGAGCAGAGACCTGGGGAACAGAACCAGCACTGACTCATGGGACCCTGACCCCTCATGAAGAGCTTCTCACTCTCGGCAGAGACAGCTGAGAGACGGCAATGAACACACAAGACACTGAGTGCTGTGCTGGTCACACCTGCTGTGTCCTGGCTGCCATCAGGAGGAAGCATCTCAGGAGAGCAGGGTGACAGTGTGGGGAAGGGCAGGCTGCTCAGAGCCAGGGGACTGGGAAGAGGAGGCGGTAGTAGCTATAGGATGGACGATCTGGAAGGAGAGTTGGGCAGAGGAAACAGCATCCGCAACAGGAGGTCTTTGTTTAGGGATTGACTGGAGGTGCAGACAAGCTGGGGGGTGGGGCTTTCTGAGAGAGAGGTGTCCAGGGCATGAGGCTGGAGAGGCAGGCGAGGTCAGTGTGCAGCCCTTGCAGGTCATAAGCGAGTCTTACAGCAGCGTGCAGGAGCTCCAGAAGGGCTGGAGACAAGCTCTGGGGCTCCCAGCCAGGCAGGGAGCCAAAGAGAAGGGGCAGAAGTAGGAGGCTGGGGAGGGTCCTGCCTAGTTGGGAAGTTGACATCAGTGCTGGGGCCAATTATGGAAACGCTCTGGAGATGGACCCACAAGACCCAGTGAAGGATTTGAAATGGGGTGTCAAAGAGGCAAGAATGACAGACACCCCCGTTTTTGGCCCAGTGGCATGGTGACAGCGAGGTGCACTGAGATGGAGACAGAGAAAGGAGCAGGTTTGCCAGGCAGGTGGGTATGCAGAAAAGCGCACCCTGGTTCGGATGTGTGAGTTTGGGGCTCCATTAGACATCCAAGAGGTGTGCAGAGGCAGCTGGAGGTCAGGGGAGAGACCTGGCTGGCAGTGTGGAGCCAGCGCCCTGCGGTGGATGGCGTGACACAAGGGACAGTTAAGGAGGACAGTAAACGAAGACAAGAGAGAAAGCAGCCCAGGCTGGAGACCCAGGGCACTCGTGGGCAGAGGCTGGGCAAAGGGTAGCAGAAGGGCGGGGCAAGAGCAAGGCGGTTCAAGTTAAGGAGCAGTTTCGGGGAGAGACCAAGAGGCCAGGAGCACAGACAAGGATCACACAGACTATTCAGCAGCGCCCCCCTCAGCCTCAGGGAGGAGGCGGTGCCCAGGTGGAGTGGCCGAAAGGAGAGGAACCGTCAGTCGTCCAGGGCCGGATTCTTTGGCCTCGGAAACTTACGTTCTCTGGCTACCAATGAACACAACGGCTAAATCTCACAGACCCGAGCCCGAGTCAAAAAAAGCGCGTTTCCGGAGAACGCCCGCGACGTGCCTGTGTAGGTGACACTCGCTCAGGTTGCGAGGGGTCCAGCCAAGCAATAAAGCGCCCCAAGGGAGGCACGCTCGGGGACCCGGGGTCTGGACTGATCAGTGGGGGCTGCGAGTCTACCTGAGGGGGGAGTTGGCAGGGGCACCGGGGGGAACACGCCTGGGGTTCCCGCCCACGACCGCCGGGCTCCGAGGCGCCGATTCCAGGAATCGGGAGAGGAGCCCCCAAGATAAGGGGACCCCTTTGTGGTATGGCGATGCCTGCGGGCCCAGGCCAGAATCGCCTCTCCCCACCGGGTCAGCCGATCCCCGCCCGCCCGCCCTGGGCCAGGAGTACCTGGGCAGGACCGGCAGTCCGGGAGATGAC